CCTGTCCACCACCAAATTCTTTTTTCTCTCTTCACATTTTCTAAAGAGCACTGCTCAACAGAGAGCTGAAAAAAAAAACATTTATTTTACACCTTATTGAGATTCACAATGTATTGTCTTTATAAGAGTTTGGGAAGCCTCAGCTTTCCATTTTTTTTCCTTTCTGTACAAAATTAAGTCATCAACAGTAAAATCTGTGGATGTCTCAAGTAGTGGCATAATTTAGGGAGTGAGATGCATAGATGAAAAATCTGGCCAGGTAGTGGTGGCGCACGTCTTTAATCCCAGCACTTGGGAGGCAGAGGCAGGCGGATTTCTGAGTTCGAGGCCAGCCTGGTCTACAGAGTGAGTTCCAGGACAGCCAGAGATACACAGAGAAACCCTGTCTCAAACAAGGGAACAAACAAAAAACAAAAAAGAAAGAAAGAAAAATCTGCCATTGGAAGCCATTAGCTTGAGAAGTCAGTATTTATATTTTCTCAGTTCCTTTATGGGAAGAATGCACGCTGCTGCTTAAGGAAGCCACTGAGCGGAAACAGACATGACATTCAGTATGGAGGCAGTAGGTAGGGGACAGTTCTGAACGCCACTGGCTTTCCACCTTACTGAGCAACTTCTCAGGACAGTGAAATAAATTAAACATAACTGAGTGTGCTTGCAGGTGCGTGTGTGTTTTCTTTTTTTTTTTTTTTTTTGGTCTTTCAAGACAGGATTTCTCTGTATAGCCCTGGGCTGTCCTGGAACTCACTCTGTAGACCAGGCTGGCCTCAAACTCAGAAATCTGCCTGCCTCTGCCTCCCAAGTGCTGGGATTAAAGGTATGTGCCACCACTGCACGGCCGTGTGTGTGTTTTCAAGTGAGGGTAAAGCATGGATGTTGGGTATCTTTCTCAGTTGCTCTGATTTCTTATTGACCTCAGAGCTCATTGAGTCTGCTGGACTGACCGTCCACTGAGCTCCAGGGCTCTGTCATCCTCCACCTCTCCCACCCAACAGTGTTAGGATTACAGATGTGTGGGGACCAGGGATCCAACCTCAGACCCTCATGTTAGGATGAAGCCATCTCCCCTGGCCTTAAGTGTAACCTTTTTTCTTTGGATGTAATTTTTCAGAGAGTGCATGTTTCACCTTAATTTTTTTTCCTTTATAGTATAGAAATACTATTGCTATCTTTGACATGGTAGAGTGAGCACCATGGACGGACAAAATCTGTTCCAAAGCAGAGATTTCACTCTGTTGCTAACATTTTCAATCCTTTCCTCTCTGGGGAAATAACAAAAGAGGCAGATGGAACAGATGGAGCATTTTGGTACCCCTGTCTGTTTCCACCCACTGGGAACAGAACTATGGAACCATACTGAGCCGTAGGGATGAGATGCCCTATGCCTATGAATTCTTGAGAGTTGGCTGAAATTCGCATTATCCATGGTTTGCTACATTAGGTAACAGTGATACTAAAAAGACTGTACTGAGGAGAGCAATTGTAATTTTTTCTTAAGAAATTCCTATTTCCAAATGCTACTTCTAATATCATGATATATATGTCATGATTATGTATATGATATGTATTTACGTGCCAATGACATCTTAGGGAGATTTAGCTAATCTTGGTATCTGCATATTGACTGCCAAATTCAATTTCCTTCCGTGCTATTTTTCAATAAGTAATTAGAAAAGAAACCCCGTCTGAGTTGACCGAGTCTGCTATTGTAGGCTGTTTGCTGTCAACTCAAAGTTCTCAATTAGCTCCAGTGTTGGCGTAATTACTGGACGTGTTTTCAAACAACTCCCAGTTAATAACTGTTGGGATGAAGAGTCATTTTCTCACTGTGGATGAGACTGTGCACGCTCATGCTTGCTGTGATGTTTTGACAATGATTCATTAACCAATAATAAGCCCCAATTGGACCCATTAGGCATCATTGCCTTTGCTAGGCTTACCCTTCATTTTGTTCCTTGATATTGTCTTTTCTTGACTTGGTTTCTGGATACGTCCCAAGAGGCTCCTTACGACACAAAACAATATCAAGAAGACAGCTGTCATTAAATACAGCTACTTGTAAAAAAAAAAAAAAAAAAAGGCTCCATGTAAGAGGATGCTCTTGTTGAAACTTAAAATGGAGAAGAGCACTGTGAAAAAGAAGGTTCCAACAAGAATGCATGGCTTAACGAGCCTTTATCTGGACCAGCTCACAGAGACTGAGGAGAAGAGCACTGTGAAAAAGAAGGTTCCAACAAGAATGCATGGCTTAACGAGCCTTTATCTGGACCAGCTCACAGAGACTGAGCAGAATTGTCCTATGCCTTTCAATGGCTCATATAAGGTCTGGTCAAATACATCTTCCTCCTCAGCCTGCCTCTCCCCCTCCCCATCTTCCTCATGCTACCACTCAAGCCTCAACCTCTCCTTGCTTCTTTCCTTCCTTGCTTTCATGCCTCTGCTTTTTCATTCTATTAACCAACTTCCTTGTTTTGTCAAAACTCAAGGATTTCCTAGATTGTGGTATTTTCTATCATCTATCGTGTGTGTGTGTGTGTGTGTGTGTGTGCGCGTGCACGCGCTCGCTCACGGGTGCACGCTCATGCGGTCAAAGGACAACATTCAGGAGTCCTTTCCTTCTACCATGGGCCCCAGGGGTTGAACTCAGGCCGCCAGGCTTTCGTGGCAAACACTTTTACCTGCTGAGCCTCTCGCCAGCCCTCCACATGTTCTAATAGAAGATTCTGATGGATGGATACGATTCTGATGAATTCTGAGTTCACGTTGATGGATACGGTGGTATACACGGCTGCCTTCCATTAGGCAGGGTCTTTTTTTTCTTTTTTTTGAGTTTCTGAAACAAATGCTATAAAATTAATCACTTAGGCTTATGAAATCAATATCGTGCAATGTAAAGAAGGAGAGACAAAGCAGCTGTCCTTCACTGTCTGTTTCTGGACGATGGCACCTTAGTGACATTCCACTGGACTTTAACGGATGAGCACAGATTGAGGACACAGGAAGGCCCATTGGATTCGTTCATTGGCTTCAACCCCCAAACTTTGAGCAACTATTGTATTACTTTAGCTGAAGTGTTTTAGGTGCCATTTGGCTCTGAGGAAAGAATTTTGATGTCCCAGAGCAGTGGTTTGCAAACCTTTCTATTGCTTCAACTCTTTAATAATACAGTTCCTCAGCCAGTGGTGGCGCACGCCTTTAATCCCAGCACTTGGAAGGCAGAGGTAGGCAGATTTCTGAGTTCGAGGCCAGCCTGGTCTATAGACAGAGTGAGTTCCAGGACAGCCAGGGCTACACAGAGAAACCCTGTCTTGAAAAACAAAAACAAACGAACAAACAAAAAAAACCAAATAAATTAAAAAAGATACTGTTCCTTATGCTGTGGTGACCCTCAACCATAAAACTATTTTGTTGCTACTTCACAACTGTAATTTTGTTACTGTTATGAATTGTAATACATGGGATACCTGATCAATGACCCTGGGGGTTACAACCCACAGGTTGAGAACCATTGTTCTAGGGTGTGTGTGTGTGTGTGTGTGTGTGTGTGTGTATCCTGTGAAATGTTGTTTGGAGTCTGCCAACTCACTTCCCCTCCTTCAGCCAAGCCTTGTCTCCTGAAGGTGAGTGTAGAGGTGGTGGGAGAAATTGAAATTCGTAACATCTTTTGTCCACAAGTAAATGAACTTCTTGGCCATCAGCTCGCCTTGAAGCTGTATGAGATTTCACGCAGGCAGCATTTGTTACCCATCAGACACCTGTAGCGCAAATACAACTAGAAAGGGAATTTCTTTTGCTGTTGTTGTTTTGGTTTGCTTGCTTGTTTTTTTTTTTTTTTTTTCCGAGACAGGGTTTCTCTCCTTAGCCTTGGTTGTCCAAGAATGAAGAGATTGGCCTACCTCTGCCTCCCAAGGGCTGGGATTAAAGGTGTGTGCTATCACTGCCTGGTACATTAAGAGTGGATTTCTAAAGCTAATCCATACACCACATACCTAGACTTACCCTTGGCTGTTAAAATCGACCCATTTCTGCACATACTCATCAAAGGATGAGTCCAACAAGAAGGCAAGAAGTAAATCTTTTAGTAAATTTGTTGCTGTTGTTTTGAGACAGACTATCACTGTTTGCTTTGATGTTCTGAACTAGACTATCACCATTTGTTACTATGTATCAGGCTAGCCTCCTCCTTGAAACACACCCCTACATCCCCTTCCTCAACTTTCCAAGAGCAGAGAGCACAAAACATATGCTGACACTGCTGATTCTTCAGTAATTTTAAGACTAAAAATGCTTCAAAACAGAGAAAATGAATATGAATATTTATGTTCACAGTAATCTCTGAAGTGCATGCATTTGATAATATTTGAAGATAACCACAATGATAACAAGATACCCCATACATTTATTTATAGATGTGAAGTCAGTGGGTTTGACCATAAAGGGAATCTGAGGTGGATTTCCCTACACTGTGGGATTTAGGATTAATGTCTTAGTCTTGGTGCTGTGTTAGAATAGAATCAGGATTTTTTTTTCCTGTTTCAATATGCACATCTAGATGTATCTCCAAATTCTCAACTTTATTTATTTATTTATTTATTTATTTATTTATTTATTTATTTATTTTTGAGACAGGGTTTCTCTGTGTAGCCCTGGCTGTCCTGGAACTCACTCGGTAGACCAGGCTGGCCTTGAACTCAGAAATCCGCCTTCCTCTGCCTCCCAAGTGCTGGGATTAAAGGCATGCGCCACCACCGCCTGGCAATTCTCAACTTTATATATAAGACTTTTTTGAGACTTGAAAGTGGAAATGTTATTTTGGATATGTTACCTCGGTGACTAGGTCAGCCAAACTCATTTTAGGGAAAACTGAAGTAGGTACACTCTGTCTTGGGGCGTTGGGGGGTTAGAGAAACACATGCAGACAAATTTATTTGGAGGTACTTGTAAATTTTCATTGTGTGGAAGAAGGGCGAAGGTAGTTTAACAAATCAGAAGATCCAATATAAAAACCAAAGGCTTTATTGTCTAGCCTTCTACCGGCCCAAATTCTAACAGATTTGAAAAGAAATAATTATATGTATTTTTCTTTCCAGAAGGTTAAACATGTCATCATTAACTTCTCTGCGCAGAGCAGACAAGGGCAGCAGGCAGGTGGCAGTGCCAGCTCACCACTCAGTGTGGAATTGTTTACTGTCTCTTATCCATGTCCCAAGCTTGCATCGCACTTTTGATCCCCACTAAATGCCGTCTAGACGATGTGAAGGACTTTGAAAGCAGCCACAGCCTGCTTTTCCCGCTCGTGTCTGCTCTGCAGGATCTCCAGCAGGGAAATTTCTGGTAAGCCTCCTTCTTTTTCACTGTGCCTTGAGTTCTTAGTTTTCTTTGCTGTTTGATCAGGTAGATTTGGTGGTTTGGGTTTGGGGATGGTCTTGGCATAGTCCAAAGCCTAAGGGCATAACAAGAAAAAAGAACTTCATTTAAAGTGGGAAGTTAGTCTTAGGAGAGGCTTATGAGATAGACAGAGATAGTTGCTGTAATGTGGGCAGAAATGGTGATTGGATAGAAAATGCAGGCCACACATTATAATGCATAGGTTGCACAAAATAAATTAGTCACCGGCAGCACGTTATGGAGCAAAATGGAGCTGGAGAGGGTTGTGGACGGCTGCTGTGTCATTAGGATGTTTTTATAGGGAAAAGATTCTTTGAAGTGTTTGCAAACTGATTTATCATGTGTTTAATCTGTCAACTTTCTGAAAGTCTTGCCAACACCAAACTTCGAACAGAATTAAACCTTTAATTAAGCCTTTCTATGCAGCCACGACTGGTAGCTGGAGATCGAAGGCATCACTTGTAGTTGATGCAAACTGAACTTTGCTCATGACATTGGATCCTCTGGCTCTGAAGTTACGGATGGTTGTGAGTCATTGTATGGGTGCTTGAAACTAAAGTCTGGGACCTCTGTAAAATAGTGTTTTAAAGCCCTGAGCTTTGTTTGTTATATTTTGTTTTGTTTGTTTTGAGACAGAGTTTCTCTGTGTATCCTTGGCTGCCCTAGGATTCACTCTGGCTGGCTTTGCATTCACAGAGATCTGCCTGCCTCTGCCTCCTGAGTGCCGGGATTAAAGGCGTGGTTGCCACTACCTGCTTAAGCTTTAAGAAGAATTTACTGAAAGCTGAAAGGGGAATGTAGTTTCAAGTATCAGAAAGGGGAAAAAAAACCCCATCAAAACATAAAAAAGTTCACATTCTGCGTGTGAGTGAGACAGCTATAGGAATTCCCGTAGATTTGTCGCTGTGAACATCTTTATAAGAATGCAATTGGTTGGAGAAAGAAAAAAACGCCATGGGCATTTGGTGAGGAAGATGAGGTCACCAAGGTCTGAAGAAGAATTGACAGGACGATCAGCACATGAGAACACACAGCACACGTCCCCAATGGCAGCAAAGGATTGCATCTTCCTCCTGCGAGGAGTCCCCATGGTGATGTAGGAGTAAATCCACTGAGGCTGGGGGTTGTGATGTGTTGCCATAGTACACATTTCACTCACATCCTGACTCTTTGTTAGATGGCATCTCAGAGGACAGTTGTTCTGTATTTTTTAAGAATCATTTTTTTCCCCACTAGAGGAACCCATACAATCCCTCTGGAAAAGCATAGAGAAATGAACTTAAAATAAACAATCAAGGGTTTGTTTCTTTGTTGTGAAGAACAAGAGAGCTATGTTCCCTTGAATGTTACTTTATGATAGAGAATGAGACCGATAATTTGACTGCAGGCTCTTGCCGAGAAATCGCTTTGTTATTTCTATGTGTGACAAAATTTAGACAATATACTGGCTCGTGTGTGTGTGTGCATGTGTGTGTGCGCATGTATGTGTGTGTGTTTACATCAGTACTAGTGGATAACTTGTAAGTGTAGGAATGGCTGTTTCTGAACATCCAAGCCCATCTTTTGAGGTGAGGAGGTGACCACAGTGTCCCTTTAATTCTGACTGAAGCAATAAATGCCCCACGAGAGCTTCTTACCTTCTTCCGAGAAATTGCTGATTTACTCTCAGTTTTCGATGTCGGTGGTTTGGACAGAACCGACAGCGTCTTCATGTTGTATTCCTTGACTTGCTTTGCATATTCTTTCTGCTGCATTAACGTTTGCATCTGCCGGGAGAAATGGAGGAGAATGAGCGAATCTCTGCTAATTCTTTCAGTGACATTGTTTTAGTGGAGGTGGGCGGCCCAGGAGGGTGACCTGTGTACCATGGCAGCAGTGAACTGGTTAACGTCTCCCTGGAGACTCTGCTGAGTGCAGCCGCACCCCCGGGTGCTCTCTCAACAGAGGCTGAATCCTATTGAGCCTCTTCTTTGTTGCACTTACCCAATTTATTTTCATTTTTGCTTCCAACTTTGAACTAGGCTCTTTTTATGCCTGAGTGCAACTGCGGTTCAAACACATTAAATGAAGATCTCTTTTCACCAGAGGAAAGAGAATAAAGTGGATGCACTTCCTAGGGGTTGGGGAACTCGGATCCTAAGTGTCTTCTTGGTAGCCACTTCAAAGTTATCAAGACAACTCTATCAGGGAGACCGACAGCACATGCATCTTTGTCCACACTCACGCGGTCCGCTCTTCTGGGAGGCTTTCAAATCTAACGGAAAGGCTGTGCATAAAATAACACAGGCTAAGAATGCTTTTTTAGTTTGCAGCAGGAGAATCTGAGACTCTATTATGTCTGCATGGCTGTTTCGGAGGGGTGTCTACTCAGTGCTGGAGGTTTGCACTGATGCTGGGAGCCCATCTTTACCCACATTGCTGAGGACAGGTAGAGAACACTGAGGCTGAAAATCCCCCACGCTGCTTACTTTGTCTCTGATGGACGCAAAGTCAGGTCCCAGGCCTCCAAGTTTCACGTCTCTTTTCTGATAACCTTTCAGCTTGGAACTCTAAAAATACAACCACAGAAATGGTTCTTTTCAAGGACTGGTGTCCCTTAAAGAAGGCATAAGGGCATAGGAAGGAAGTACAATGAAAACCAGAAGCTCTGGTGGGAGGCGGGAGAATGAGTACATTTCTTGGGAATGGTGCTATTTCATGGTAGTTACTGATCGTATTCTATTTGGCATTTGTAGCTGGTTAGCTAATGTGTTCTGAGCTTTTCACTTCTGAGACAAAAGAAATTGAAATTGGAAATCATAAGTAATTTCAAGGAAGTAATTCGCTCTTTGGCTAACATTTTTAGCTGAAACATATATAATACAACTCTCCCATGCAGCTGTTACCATGAGCAGTTTGCAAAAATCAAAGGAGCCCTCACCAACACGGCAGGCAGCCAACCCATGGATTCAGAAAGTTCCTGTCCATTGAGGTGAATCCTGCCTTTCAGAGACACCTCAGTAGACAATGAAACCATAGGTCACTGGTAGAATAATAGGTAATTTTGAGGATGGAAATCAACTGCCATTCACTGATAAGACACAAAAGAGAGCAGTTGAGTCTTGGCAAGACCCACTGAGAAATTCATTTTGTTCTGTTAGTGTGACTTTGGAAAATTTGATGGGCATCCAGAAGTCAGAAGATCTGTTGGATCTCCCAGAGCTGGAGTTACAGAGAGTTGTGAGCCACCATGTGGGTGTTGGGAACCAAACCTGGGTCCTCTTTAAGAGCAGCAAGTGCCCTTAACCACTAAGCCAACATGCCATCCTGATAGGCTGTATATCTGGTGAGCCTTTTCTGAGACACAGTTTGGCAATGATTATCAGATGAATGAAAACATTTTATCAGGTCAGTTAGGATTACTTCATGTAGCTCCATGATCCTAAGAATGGACTACCCATACATTGTATCAACGGTTTGTCCCAGTGTGGTTTTTACTTACAGCTGCACTGGCTGCTCCTTGGACCCCCACCCACTGCGGAAGCTGGGAAATCCACTACAGTTAGTTCCCCCATATCACCTGTGGGTATTTAGTTTCCAGGGTACACTGTCGATACTGCAGCCTAAGATGCTCAAGTCCTCATGTAACAAGCGGTATCAGTCTGTAAACTCCACATTGCCCATATGCTCGCTTCCTCTCTGGATTACTAATACCTGGCATGACATAAGCACTATTCAGAGAGTTGTTCTGATGTTATAATGACTTGGAAAAGTCAGTCACATTCATTGAAGATGTGCTGTTACCAGAACCCATGGATATGGACCAACTCTTTCCATGAAATCTACCCAGCACAGAGCTCTGGCCCCATGAAGTATATTTGAGTTTAGTGAGGAGTACTCAGATTTTTTGGAAACTTTCGTTCGGGCTGGCACAGCCCCTCCCTTCTATTATTTATTTATTTATTTATTTATTTATTTATTTATTTATTATTTTTAAAGATTTATTTACTTATTTTATGCATATGAGTACACTGTAGCTGTCTTCAGACATCCAGCAGAGGGCATCAGATTCCATTACAGATGGTTATGAGCCACCATGTGGTTGCTGGGAATTGAACTCAGGACCTCTGGAAGAGCTGTCAGTGCTCTTAACTGCTGAGTCATCTCTCCAGCCCCTCATTTTTATTTTTTATCTCCACCGCCAAAGTGGATGGGATGCCTGGAGCTCCTTCATGACGGGAGAACCACATAGTTCTTGGTTCTGATATTTTGAGCTGCGGAAACCCTAGTGTTAGCAACTGCCTACCTCTGGGTTAATTGTCTGAAAGAAGAATGAACCCATGGTTTTGAAATTGCAGGGCAGCCTGTCACCGCTTTGGAAGGCAATATCCCCAGCACACCAGGGTTTCCATGTCACTATTCAGAAGGAACAGAATAATGTACCAGTCGGGGGCAACACTTCTGTTCTTCAAGGATTAAAGGCTCTGTAAACAGAATTGGCCTGTCATGATGCTGAACATTTATGTTCAAAACTCTCAGCGCATCAAAGTCTAAGGAACAAGAGAAGGCAAGAGTTTACTTTAAGCAAGACTTTGGCCTGAAATCATTAAAACTAACATTAAAATAGACAGAGGGAATTATTGCTTATCGAAGGACATTCCAAAGTGTACACCTTTAGGAAAACAGTCTTTACCAAGATAAAAGCACCAGATCTGTTCATGTCTGTTCCCTGTCCACTATATGATTGTGTCTTTCTTTTGGGAGAGTAGGGCTGGTGCTGTGACCCTGGCTGTTCTTGAACTTGTAGTTTTTCAGCCCAAGTGTTGGGATTATAAGCACATGCCACTATGTTTGGCTTCTTCATACTCTTGTTGTTGTTTTCTTCCTTTCTTCCTTCCTTCCTTCCTTCCTTTCTTTCTCTCTCTCTCTCTCTTTCTTTCTTTCTTTCTTTCTTTCTTTCTTTCTTTCTTTCTTTCTTTTTTGGTTTTTCGAGACAGGGTTTCTCTGTGTAGCCCTGGCTGTCCTGGAACTCACTCTGTAGACCAGGCTGGCCTCGAACTCAGAAATTCGCCTGCCTCTGCCTCCCAAGTGCTGGGAACATACTCTTGTTTTGAATACTAAAGAATTTTTGGTTAAAGGCATTTATTTATAAGTGCTTGTGTGTGTGTGTGCGTTCATGCGCACACAAGCTCACGTCATTAGTCCTGTGAGACAAACAACTTTATCCGCTGAGCCGTCTTGCTGTCCTCTCTTCTTATATTTATAAGAGCATTCATATACTACAATTATTTTAATACTTTCACTAAACCATTTTGGTTCTAGACTTTACTGACCCGACACCAAGTGGATTTCACAAATGTAAATTTTAGGCAAATAGTCTGTCATTTAGTGTCCTTAAATAATGTAGGTGTTTCTCTAAATGTTGACCATTGAAGATACACTGAGGTAAACACAATATGTTACTTTAATTCTTTGAAATAAATTGATGGAAGTATGGTTATTATGATCTAATGAACACTTAAGGCTACCAGTCCGTGTTTCTGCCACCGTGGGAGTGATAAGACAGTTCTTTTTCTCAAACCTTGGTTACAAAGTTGGGCATTAACACTCCTTAAAAACTTCAGCTGCTTTTAATCGTTGGCTGAACTCAGACAACCTATGCTTATGACTACAAGCCCAGTCTTCTTATGTGTGCCCTCTGTGTCACTGTTTTAAAATCACTAAATTATGATCTATCTGCCAAACTAAAAAAAAAAAAATTACAAAAATAGGTTAAAAAAATTAAACCGCCACTCATATCAAGCCATAAATCCAATTTGTTCAAAGATGATGAGAAAGACATGATCAGTGGGCAGAAATCTCATTCTTAGCTTGGTGCAGCTTAACTTTTAATCATGCTACCAACTCACAAAGGCTGTGCCAGGAAGCAGGGATAATTGTCTGTTGATCTTTAGCCCTGCTTCTTGCTAGCAACTTCAGAAAGCATGAAGGTTAACTTGAAAACACAAAACACAAAACAAAACAAAACAAAACAAAACCAGAGCCAAGGATCTAGCTTTCCATACAGACTTGAAGGGAGAGCATGTGGCCCAAATGGGCCATCCCCATGGCTGCTGATCTCATTACAGGATGAGCTGCCCACAGCCCTGCGACATCTCTCAGGGGACAGGGGGTGGCTCCTAGGGGAATTTGTTCCGGGTGACTGGCGGTGAGAATCTTGGATCTGCTTAGGTTTGGCTCAAGTAATCAGGAGAACTCAGCAGCGCCGAGATTCTGTTTGATCTCTCTCCATCTCAAGTCTTAACAGCACTGTTGGGATGTAATTCTCATACCACAAGATTTACTCTTTTAAACCTGTTCAGCTCTATGGTTTTTAGGACAGTCACCGACTTGTGTAAGCATTGCCCGATCTCATTGTGCAACATTTGCATCATTCTGAGAGAAATAGAACAAAACAAAAACCTTCCAGGACCCATGGACCCTCACTTGCCTTGATCCCTATGTGTCCAGCCCTGGGCAGCTAGCTAAGCTACTTTAAGTTTCTTCAATAGTCTTTTACAGTCAAACAATCCTCAGAGATTATTTTCATTTACTTCTTGGTTTTTAAAAGACTGAAAAGCAGCACGATGCCAAAACAAAGAGGATGGTGATGTTGGTGATAATGACAGCGACACTGACAATTCTAAGAAATCAACACCGCCGTTCTACTGAGTCTCTGAGTATAGGGACCAAACAGATGAATACAGGGTCACGTTCTAGACAGATGCCCAAGCACAGCCTCCACTTATCTCTGCATAAAGCTCACAGGAGCCCAGGGTTGGTGGCTTTTACCTGTAATACTAACACATGGTAGGTTGTGGCAGGAGGACCACCGTGTGTCAGGTCATCTTGGGCTAGAGAGTGAGTGACACCCTGTCTTAAAAAGTGTCCCAAACCAAAAACCCATCACCACCAACAAAACCAACTGAAAACAAACAAGCAAAGTCACACACTACTACTGGTGTTGGCCCCTCAAAAGGAGGCTGCATGGGACTTTTCTGGGGAGGGGGAGAGGTCCCTACTAATCATTCATGGTTTTCTCAAGCAAGGTGTATAACTGTCACTGGGTACTCCAAAGAGTATGGCTGAATTCAAGGGACATCAGTAGGTCTGTAAGTATTCGTTTCGGCTCAGAAATGTTAAACTCTGCTGGTGTTGGGGAGACTGACTGCAGATCTATTCTCCAGAAAATTCCTCAGATGCACAAGACTGAAAGTTACTGAAAACAAGATAAAAACAACGCCTTGGATGCCGGAGAGTAGCCAGCAAAGGATATGTGTGTGCTCTGCGGTCACTAAAATTAATCCAAATAAACCTCTTCTTAGGTGCAGCCAAGCAGCAAGCCCCAGATTGTCTGGGACAAGAAACACCACTTAATTACAGAGGCTCAACCCTCATCTGCTAGGGAACTCTTTACTGAGCCCTTATTTAGTGGTGGCCAGAGCCAGCAGAAGTATATTTTGATAGTTTGGCATCCCCTGTGCTGTGTTAATTTCTTAGTCTTAAGCCTGGATTTGATGACATGAACAATACCTTGCATTCTGAAATCGTTCTCAAACTGCACTGCTAAAAGAGGAAGGGGGCTCCAGGCCGATTATCTTTACAAATCCTCAAAATTTTTACTGTGATTCCGGGGGTGATTCCCTTGGAAACCAGGAGATTTGACGTGGCCAGCAAATGGGTGTGGATAATGACTCCCTCTGTCTGGTGCCTGGACTACCCGCTGTCCTATACAAATCACTCAGTTCTAAGTCACTTCGGCTTCTGGAAGGGCTTAAAGGACAAAGAGCACTCCTGTGTGTGTGTGTGTGTGTGTGTGTGTGTGTGTGTGTGTGACATGTAGACTTGAGGTACTGGGCTGAGAAAATGGATGTGTATGGATTGGAGCCACCCTCACAGAAAGTGGGGAGGGGTGGTCAGAAGCAGGAAATTACCCCTGCTCTCCTCACCTTTCCATGGCCTTAGCATCCTGGCACTAAGCACTTTTTCCAGGGAGTTTTCCTCTATCCTTTCTCAACACAACAGGGATTCAACTCATTTAATTGACGTGTAACCTTTGCTAGGGAATAAGCCAGGTTTCAGTACATTATTTCATTGACTATTACGCCACACCTTTAAAAAAAAAAGTAAGAGTAATTCTGATTGTTTCTATGAGGAATCAGGGACTAGGGTAAGTTAGTAAATGTCTCCATGAGATAGGGCTGTAGGCAAGACATTTTCTTAATTAGTGATTGATGACGAAGGGCTCAGCCCACTGTGGGTGGTGCTGTCCCCTAGGCTGGTGGTCCTGGGTTCTATCAGAACGTAGGCTGAGTAATCGGTGAGAAGCAAACCAGTGAGCAACACCCCTCCAAGGTAGCTACTGAGACTGGACCAAGGACTGTAGCTGGAAATTCAGCTCAAGAGCTCTTGTTTTCTACCACAGGAATGTTCTCTTCTGAGAGGCTGTGCATGTCTAAATCTTAGGCCCTGGTGATCTAGAAGGTATGGAGTGAGCAGGCAGTCACTGTACTGACAGAACTGTGGGTTGCAAAGGCTGATTGCATGTCTCCATGGAAACGATGCATATGATGCCTGCTTCCCAGTCTGGTCTGTAAGTCTTGGTTTATTTGAGAAACACTTGAAAGTGGTACCAGCAGTACTTTAGAACCCAAGAGCCATGTGATGATGTTTCTCTGGGAAAAGAAGTGACCTGTGTGTCCCAAAACTTAGGCCTCCCTGTCTACAGTGGAAGTGGGGTCTTCTGGTGCCGGCCTCATAGGAGCTCTTTCCATGTCTCAGAATCATGAGCTACATAAACTTCTTCATAAAATAGCCTGCCTTGGGTATTTTATTATAGTAGCAAAAAGCCCCAAAATATATTACTTCACCCTGGAAGCAAGTTGTCTTTCTGAGAATTTAAAAGGTGGCAGAGAGAGAGAGAGAGAGAGAGAGAGAGAGAGAGAGAGAGAGAGAGAGAGAGAGAAACAGGATTGGGCAACAATGCTGTTCACTACTTTTTGACCCAAACTCTAGATAAGAATTCAGCGAAAACCAAGTGGCCTGGATATTTTGTTGCAGAAGCTGAGTTGAAAAGCACACCAAGAGGCATGTTTGACACTGAGGAGGAACCAGTGGTGGAGGGCGAGAGACCTCCAGCATCGTGGCTTACACTCACTCAGCCCAACTCTCTCTCCAGATGTGAAGTTTAGGAGAGGGGTTTGACTGAAGAGACATGATGGTTGAGCTGAGAATAAAGTCAGGATTATCGTTGCCTACCTGCAGTGTAGACTCTTCCGAGAGAGGACCTGAAAAGGAAGTGGGGGTAGGTATTTTTGACAACAGAAACTTCCAGAAAGGCGGAAAGGTGGGGAGGGAAACTCAGGGAGTGACTCGGACTGGAGGGGAGGGTTCCTGGACTACCTTACTGTGTGAGAAGCAAAGTAACCCAGGCCCATCTGTGTCCCATCAAAATTCAAGAGCGACGTGGCTAGACAAGCATGCTTTTATCACCTTTGTGCCGCTTCGCTTCCGGTGTTTCCTCCCTTTCTCCAGCTGAAGCAGGTAGCCTTCAGAATTACTCCGGGCCATCTTCGTCTGGTGTCTGTGCCTTCTCTCTGAACTGAGCTGCGATTCACTTTCTACCCTGGACAGGATAGGCGGGAGTACAATGCTAGACAAGGAGCCCTCGCTGGGCTGCACCTCTGCCAGCTGCATCAAGGCGTGCTGGTGCTGCTCCATGATCTGGGCAAGCCGGGAGTCTGGAGAGGCACTAGCGGGCTCCATGTCTGAGGAAGAGTGGAATTTCCTTTGGAGAAAACATAGGTGTTTTGTTTTGTTACATTTTAAATAAAACTTGAATTTGTAACACTGCTTTTTATGTAGAAATCTTAGGAACCGTTAATCTTTTCAGGAATACATTGATTTCTTGTCTTCAAATCCTCCTCTTTTTCCTTGGGACATTCTAGTTCCTTTTAAAAAACATTTTTTCATTTACTTATGTATCTCTATGTGTACATGTGTGTCCAGGTGACCTTAGAGTTCAGAAGAGGGTGTCAGAGCTCTACACCTGGAGTTACAGGCATCGTTAAGTGAGTGCTAGGAACTGAACTCAGATCCTCTAAAATCATATTCTGCTCATACCTGCTGAGCCATCTCTCCAGTCCTTAATAGGAAAGCCTTGTTAAGGACTTTCAGTTAAAGCATGAAATAGAGGATCACAAATAGGTAAATAACCAACCAACCAAACCACCACCACAAAACCTGACACATCATTTTAAAAACCATTACACAACAGCTAGACATGATATATTAAATTGAACAAGCATTCTTTAAATACGTAGCTGATTGTGCCAGAGAAACTGGGAATCTCCAAGGATGGGAATGAAATGGAATTAAAGCCAACGGAAGTTCTGGATCAGCTAAAGACATGGCTTTGGTGTGGGGCTTCTGGGTAAAGGATTTGAGTTTTAAGAGTTAATATTGGCAGTCTGGGAACGTGGCTGAGTTAGTGCGTGCCTGGCACAAACAAGCCAGCAAGCAAATCTTGAGATTTTCTTCTTCATGTTGAGAGGCAACTGTCGTTTCTGAAGCTGCACACCTTTGAGATGTGCATTTCTGAAGATAGAAAAATGTTCTTATACCTGTGAAGTTATCAGGGACAGAAAATCAATTGGGCTGTCTAAGAAAAAAAGACTCAGAACTGGTGGGAGGAGCCTTCAGGCCGTCCACTGACCATTCCACAGAAATCCAATGTCAGTAGGGCTTCACTCAGCTTTCTCTTAAGATTTTTGTCAGATTTTCAGATTGCCGGACAAGTGAGACCAATTCTAATGAAGATGCAAAACAGGTGAAGAGAGAGAAAAAACAAACTAACAAGACACACCTACCACCACCAACTGAAACCAGGAGGAAAGAGTAACTAAGGAAATTTACGACATTTAAAAAATGTTATTTAAAAAAAAAAAAAGGCCCTTACTTGCCGTTTCCCTTGTTGAGAACGGAGGATGCCAAGAATGAATGATGCTGCTTGCATGCTTGGTAAGAGGGGTGTCAGGGGACAGTCCCCAGCGTTGGGAAGCCGTGCCAGGAAGATTGCCGGGAAGATTGTTTGAGGACAGCCTTGGTAACACACTGACCCATTTTAGGTCCTAGCAAGGACACAGAACCGAAACTCTGCCCCTTCCCACCCCGCCCTCCACCAACAACCCAAAAGGAAAAAAAAAATGTAACTCATTAGATTGACCAAAGGTGAAACAGGAACGGTGTCAACAAAGAGGGAAAACCATGATAATAATGAGTAGAGGGTTCAAATCTGCTCACAGATGGTAACTGAGGCAAGGCTGTACAAAACAACCCAGGGGATGTAAAAGAATAAAAAGAGAGCCCGGCATAGAGCTGAAAGCTGATACTCCCCATGCTCTGGTGGCCCCTCTTCCTGTAGCCCAGTCTGACCCGTCTGACCAGTCTGACCAGGAACTCAGAAAGTTACTGAACTCCTCACCTTGACATGAACTTGAACTCCTGATTCTTCTGCCTCTATCTCCCATTGCTGGGACTGCAGACCTGGACCACCCTACCTGGTCTATAGAATATTGATAACACATCTGGATGAGATAGGAGAGATGTGGGCCTGTCTTCCTTCATGCGTATGAATGTCATTAAATCCTAGACAAATAAATTGAGCAATCTAATCTGGTATAATGGGCTGGGGAGATAGCATGTGGTAGAGTACCTGCCTAAAAGATACAAGGCTCTGGGTTCCATCAACAGCATCAAGAACAAGTGGAAGATCAATATGACAAGGTGGGCTAACCTTAGGGACAAAAGGATAGCGCTGCAGTAAAAGCCTGTGGATGTATTTCATTACATTGTAGGATGGATGAAGCATATTTGATTAACTTCAGCTCATTTGTAACAAAAGTGCTTTGCCAAGGAAAATAGTAACAGGAAGGAATTTTCTATATCTACCTACTTGAAACTAAAAATGACTTATTTTCATTGTGTCTATGTGGGTTTAGTGTGTGTGCGCATGTGTGGGCGCACATGAGTGTGCATGTTGTGTATGTTCCTGTGGATGATGACATTCAGCACATGTGTTCCGGTGCATATGTGGAGGTCAGAGGGTAAAGTTTGGGGCTCGAACTAGAGGCACCAGGTTTATAGATGTGCCTGTTCTTTGCAGTCAGGTTAACACTGAGCAGCCTAGGCTTTCCTTGAACTCAGTATCCTCCTTCCTCCGACTCCTGTGTGGAGGTGACAGGGGGTGCACACAACCACACCCAACTTAAATATTATTTATAAAGATAAAAGGGTCAGAGGTCATTACTCTAAAGCCAGAAAGAAGCCAACGAAAGTGCTTGCCAATCATCGCTGTCTCTCCAGGAAGCAGACTCTGAACCTTACTAAATATATGTCCCAGACCGTCTGGCATAGAACTTGTCTCTCTTCTAATTTACATGTAAAGTTGTGCCCCATTCTATTTTTGAAAACAAGCCCCTTGAAGGTGCCCCACAGTGTCAGACTGTGTGTCTTCTGTGTACTTTAGCACTGAAGTCATCACATGTCAAGTGTCCAGAAAACACATTTGGTTAAGGGGCATCAGGGATGGTATCCTGAAATTACTTTTAAAAATTGACTTTCTTTTTCTTGTTCATAGAAGCCATGGATCTACACTGTTGGGAAGTTGAACAATTCTAACTCTTAAAAAAAAAAGAATGGAAAATAACCTTGATTTCTCTTGCCAGAGATAACCACTGTTTCTTTTCAAGCTTTTTAAAATTTAGGACTTATTTACTCATTTACTTATTCATTTACGACAGGGTTTTACTATGTAGCCTTGGCTGGCTTTGGAGTCTGTTATGTAGACCAAACTGGCCTCGAATTCACAAAGATGCTCCTGCCTCTGCCTCTGCCTCCTGAGTGCTGGAATTAAAATTGTGCACCATTACACCCAGCAACTTTTATGTGTCTGGACGTTTTGTTTACATGTATGTCTTGCACCACATGTATGCTTAGTGCCTTCAGAGACCAGAAGATGGCGTAAGAGCCTCTAGAGCTGGAGTTACAGATAGTCGTGAGCCGCTGTGTGGTTGCTGGGAATCAAACCCAGGACCTCTGGAAGAGCAGTCAGTGCTCCTAACCGCTGAGCCAGAAGTAATCATCGCTCACCATTGGGTGGACTTTCTTTCCATGTGCACATTAGGACAGCAGAGTTCATTGTCCTTGGGTACAAACCGGTTCCTCACTTCCTTCTTCTTACAAGACCATTTCCTCAGAGGCATATTTGTTAAATGGTCACAGGGGACTAAATATCACAATTTCCCTAAACCTCCCTCACCTTTGGTGGTTTCTGTAAAGTGATGGTATTTCTGTGTCTACACACTCCTTTTTAGGCTAGAGAACTGTTTCTCCAGTCATTACTCGAATCTTTCTAAGCATGTTCATGTACTCTGCCTGGTTTCCTGTGCCCTCCCCTTGCGCCAACTTCTAGTTTCATTACCATGGAAACAGTAGAGGAGATTGGGATGAGCAGAAAGAAAACTGCCAGAAGTCAGTCAGGAGTCTGAGGCAGGGGAGGGGTTAGTTGGCTTTTTCTTCTGGTCTCACCTGCCCAGGGACTCCACTGTCCCCTTCTTCCTCTCTTTTCTTTCTCTGCAAGCGTCTTATTTCTCCTCTAGAAAACTACTCAAAATAAGGAAATTCCAGGCAGTTGTGATGGCTCTGTGTAAAACCACTTATGTAAGGCCTAATGTCCCTGAGTTAATCCCCGGGTACACGTATTGTTTCTGACCCCCATACATGCTCTATAATCCATTCTCTCTCTCTCTCTCTCTCTCTCTCTCTCTCTCTCTCTCTCTCTCTCTCTCTCATGTGTGTATGTGCATTCACATGGATATATGTGCACGCATTACACACACAAACACATGTATATTAATAAAAATAAATTTTAAAAATTTGAAAAATTTTAACGAGACTTCTCACCAGAGCATCTCTATGTTCTTGTATTTCGTCTTTGCCTGTGGTTGTTTGGACAGCTTCTTCGTCTTCGTTGACCTGTGTGTGTTCGTGTGATAGTCAGACTGAGGGCCTCTCTGGCTCGGGGACTCATGTCTGTGAGAAAGTTCATTAAAGTCTTGCAGAAGATCTATGTCAGAAAACATGTAGATGGGCTGTGACTGATACAAGATTCTCTTCTCTTCCTCAGCCCTGTGTCCTTGTCTTTTATTAGCGTCCAGCCCTGAGACAGAGTTTTTATATAATACTCTGTCAAAAGGCTGCTTGGGTGGAACGAAAGGGTCAGAGGTGACTTTGGGATTGTGGGTGAGTGTTCTGGAGTCCTGTACACTGGGACTAGAAGCATTCTTGGGTGCAGCCAGCTCATGCTTTGCTGACACATCCATAGGTTGCCTTTGGTTTTGTGGTTGTTGGAGAGGGTTATTCTGATTGTTTTGACTGACAACAAGCTCTTTTGTCCCAAGAGACTTCAGGCCATTCTTGGGTTTCCTCTGTTTCCGAACCCTGGCCTTGGCTGTTCTTCTGGAAGGTTGCTGGCCGTTGGCTGCATCGGAAGACTGACCTCTTGGGACGTTGCCTGATTTTGTGTCTTCGTACTGGGACAGATGTTCTTGGTAATTCTAAAAAAGATATTATAGTTAAGGCAAAATCAGAAGATGAGTATGCTTCATACATTTTCAATGAATTCTGTTTTTAAAAATGGAGGGTCAAAACATCTAGGAACGTGACCATGGATGGAAAAGGAGTGAGTACAGGGATGTCTCTCCTAATTGTAGGTGATTGGAGGGTGAGCGGCCAAGGAAATGTTAGTTAGCCCTGACAGAGCTTAAGAGTTTAAAACAGCTATTAGGTCTCTGACTGACAAGCTATATGGGGAGATGTCACCAAATGGGGAACTGGATGGAGAGAAGCTTCACCTCCAGAGAGATGCACAGAGGGAGAATATACATCTGTGCCAACAGGTGCAGGCTTACGGGTATTTCTAGAATCCCACCCACAAGACACCAGAGGTTTGCCTGTGCCAACCAAGTACGAGCGCCATCTGACACTCGGTTCAGACCATCAGCTTGGCGTGTGCACACAGGTTAGCAGCTAGAAATGACCTCTTCGCCAGATGAAACAAATTAGATCTCATTCAGATGATCATGAAAGAGCCAGGGCTGTGATGGGACATCCATGAAACCACAAGAGTTGTTTCTTTTTCTTTCTTTTTTTCTTTTCTTTCTGTTGCCTAATATAGCCTGCGCTTAGGCAATCAAACATCTGGGGATGGGGATGGGGGAGGGGACTTCGAGCTCAGCACAGTCTTCAGGCTTTTTCTAAGTCCGGTAACAACAAAATGTACTCCCGGAACAATAGATACACTGTGTAACTAAATTGTCCCGTGCATCCATTTGAGAGTATTTCCCGAGGAGCGGCACATTCATTACTTTGTGGAAAATGAGCGGGGTAAAGAGGCCTTTGGAACGAATGATTAACTGCTTATTGAAACAGTAAGATGACCACGTGCATTGATGTGTTATATAACTGCAATGTTCTTTTTTTTTCCCCCTTTCAGAGCTCGCATGTAAAAAAAAAAACCCTTCAGGACCCACATCTGTGCAATGCTAATTGAAAAATGCAGCCATTAGGTCGCTCATTGGAGGCCAGTGAGAATACTACTGGGCAAAGCCTTTCCCTTATTCGGATTTGTTTCAGTTGGTGGGGAAGAAACATTGTATCATGAGGATGCTGTTTAAGGTTTTCTTTCGCTTCCCCGATACAATCTGCAAGGCTGACCGCACATCCCAAGTGACAGTCATGTTCTCCATTTCTAACAGAAACACATCAGGATTCTAAGGACAAGACTGTTAAACTCACGACTGCAACGTCTGGTATCGCTGGCAATATCAGTATCTGTAAAGAATGGCTTCCGTTTACAATGTAGCATGTTTTCTTTGGGATTTGAGCCATTTGAGAATTGACCGGGCTCTTGTTGGCTCTTATAAAGGGTTAGTTTTCACCTGCAGTGCTTCCCCCCTTAAAAAAAAAAAAAGCGGACAAAAATATCAAATAAATAAAACCCTCTCCTGCGCATCCAGGTAAGAAAAAAGTTTTCTTCCACATGGTTTAATCAAGCTGCGTGGGGAAGAACATGGGTAAAAAGACTTGCCCTAGATGTGGCCCCAAGTACACGCTTCCTTGTAGTGGGCCCCCAAAAGTGTTACCTGGAATTTATTTTTATTACATTTGTTTGTTTGTGTGCATGTGCGGGAATCAGTTCTCCCCTTCTACCAAGGGGGTCCCAGGGATAGAACTCATGTTGTCAGGCTTGGCGGCAAGCGCCTTCGCTCACTGAGCCATCTTGTTGGCCCAGAAATTGCTATTTTCTAATCCGACAGGTGTGTTTCTAAAACACAGTGGCTCTCTCTCACGCTGTCAGCATGCTAGTAAAGGTTGAACAAGCCTCTTTGGTTATGATCTCTAAACTTTAACTCGGACTGACCAATCATGGCGTTCTTTGCAACATTTGTGCAGCCTTTCACTGAATAAGGGAGTGATAGTGGAGTAACTAGGCATACTTTCTGTCATTACCTGGCTTACATTTTTCTCTTTTTATTCTAACCAAAACAACCAAACAGACAACCCCAGGAGAAATTCCTCTTCTGGGAAGTTCTGGTTACTACTGAGCTCCTGTGCGGTCTCCTTTGTTGCAGCCGATTCAGATGACAGCAGCCCTCCTCCTAGGGTGCTTTGTCAACAATGTCCAAAGACTCATCATTTTACCAAACCTGAATTGTCTCGAGTGTTAAATCCTCGATTCACATAGACATAAGTGCCCGGAGATGTCATTTCAGTCCTCAGAAAGCAAGACATTTCTGGACTTGATATGATTTCTCTCACCTTCCAAGAATCCTCCTCAAGATCTGCCGCTGGCTGGAGATTTATTACTCTGACAATTGGGGCATCAGGTGTCACTCTTTAGGTGGTGAGACCTGAGTCCCCTGAAGTTAATATACAAAGCCACTCTCAGGCTGTTTAATCTCCATCAGCGTGGAAATCCGCCATTCTATTCTGTTCTCAGTAGGAATCTTTTGTTGCCCACGCTGGCGCTGGCGATTGCTATCCCCTCCAGGCACTCGGACTAACGGCTTAATGGCAGTAGGTTTTCATATCACATGTGGAGTGACAGCTGCACTGGGGAATCTCCATGCCTGATGCTGAGATGTGAGTGGTATGGCGAGACTCGTCCTTGGTCACTGGTGTCCACCCACAGTGTGCCATCGTCCCAGCCCTGTGAAAGGCACTGCCTGCCTGCTTCTGTCTTGTGGATCTCCTGCTCATGTGTCATGAGCAGAGAGCAGAATGCGCACTCTTCCCCCCTACCCCCAATTCTTCTAACATAGAGCCCACTGTTGCTCTTAGCTGCCCTAGCTGGGCCCTGGGGTCCTGAGAGTTCTACCCAGGTTCCAGGATTAACTCTGGCCCAGAAAACTTTCTGTAGTACTCGGTTTATCTTCTGTGTTTGTTAAAAAAAAAAAAAAGTGAGGGCTGGAGAGATGGCTCAGCGGTTAAGAGCACTGACTGCTCTTCCAGAGGTCCTGAGTTCAATTCCCAGCAACTACATGGAGGCTCACAACCATCTGTAATGGGATCTGATGCCCTCTTCTGGTGTGTCTGAAGACAGCTACAGTGTATTCACATAATAAATGTCTTTTAAAAAAATGTGACCTTAGGTTCCAATTTTTATCTAATATTATTTTATGTACATGTGAATTTTGTCTGAATATATGTCTATGCACCGTGTATGTGTACGTGTGTGTATGTGTATGTCTGTTGTTGTCTGTGGAGGCCAGAAGAGGATGTCAGATTCCCTGGGACTGGAATTAAACATAGTTGTGAGCTGCCATGTGGGTGCTGGGAATTGAACCCAGGTCCTCTAGAAGAGCAGCCATGGCTCTTAAACACTGAACCATCTCTCTAGTACCTATCTAATATTATTAAGACATATCCATCATGAATTATTAACTAAGGCCATACTGTCAGCAAGGAAGAACTTCAGATAAACAAGCCTGTGTTGACCAGACCAAAGCATGGCTCTTTAGAAAGATGGGGAAAGGGGCTCATCACAGGGACTTGATGGTGGTTAGTGAAGGACTCTGTGTCATTCAATGATGCCACCACTGCTGCTTTTGTTCTGAGTCTGGGAATATCCTTCATGCTTAGGACACTTGGAAGGATCTTCTGGCCAAGGCTATATCTTGGCATGGCCTCAGAGGACCTGATGCCTTCAGTTTGGGCATACCAATGAAATGGGACCTCTGAAACCTGTTAAGACCCACAGGAGAGCACAGACTGTTGCAGGACAATACAGTCCCAGGAAAGGTCCATGGAGAGGTCCTGAGCAGGATGTAAAGATCTTATGTGGGCACAGGAATCTGACATGAAAATCATGATGACCCAAGGCTCTCTCTCAGATTGACTAGTGGAACTGTCCTCCATACCCCATTGCCAGGGGACACCTCTGCCCTCATCTTTTCCCTGACATTAGCTTTCAGGAAGCTCTGAGTAACTAACTTGGTTTATTTACTTATTTCAATTCTATCAGCAGCCTGGAGACCTGGGAAGGACAAGAGAGGGTTTAAGATGTCTGTCTTTTTTTTTTTTTTTTAAACTTCTGTGATGCTTAGAGGAACTTTAATGGTTTGAACTTTTACAGTTGCTTCGTGGATGACGTTAATGGATGTTGTCAACAGGCTCCTCAGGCTTGGTGATTTCAAAAAGCTCACCACCCACCCCATCCACGCCCCTTGAGACAAGGTCTCACTGTGTAGCACTGGCGGGCCTGCCACTTGCGATGTAGACCAGGTTGACCCCTGACTAACAGCCGTCTGCCTGCCTCTGAGTGCTGGAACCCTGGAATTCAAGATGTGCCACCCATGGTCATCCTTAAGCAGGGATGAAACCTGTTCCGAGAACGAGTCCATATAATTCCATGTGCCGACCCAGGAAACGAACGGCTACAAATGACCTTTCTATTGCTTCTAGAAATAGTGGGACAATTACCCATCCCCCAGCTACACTTATGAGTGTCCATGGACAAGAAAGATGCTATCATACTGAGATACCAGTGGGTAAGCTTACACGTTCTGGAAACAAGGCTTGGTGGGGTTCTGAGGGATCACACCCAGCTTCAGAGACAGTGTTTCCTGAGTCTACTGGGTAGCTCTCAGTTCCCAAATAAACATATTATTTTTCCTCTGCATGTCCCCCACCCCTTCCTACCATGAGGGGTTTTGTCTCTGTATGTTTGGAGTATTAAATGATGGCATTCTGGGTCAGGGGACCTTTCAAGGTAGTTAGGGTTGCTGGCTGAGTGGGCACACAAACTACGGCAGAAGGCAGTCTTCAGCATGGGTAGGTAGGTATTCTAGGCTTAGAATAACCCTTAAATGACAAGAACTCGGTGACAGACATTACATATATCCAGCAGTCTCACTTGAAGCACACTTAACACACAATCTAGCAGGTGACCTTGAGCTGTTGTGCTCTCTGATGCCATTTGTCCTCAGGATCCATGAAAGTGTTTTCGACTTCTTTGTCATTCTGGACAGTCATCTTGCCAGTATCTCTGATGGGATAGGAAATCTAAGAGGAAAAAAAAAAACACATAGGACAGTAAGTGGCATATACTGCATCCTAAGTGGGTTCGTTTCAGTCTTACAACCGTGGGGCTCCCCTGTCTGTGTACTCCAGGGAGAGGTCTTGCGGAGGCATGCTTTGTGTTTGGTTTATTGCGAGGGTCAGTTTCACTTCTCAGGCACTTATGTCAGACAACCTTTCCTCTCTGTGATTAAAAAAAAAACAAAACAAGACAAACAGTTTCAAAGGAGGAAGCATTTATTTTCTGTGCATGGTTGTAGAGAGAATATCTTGTGTATTGAATGGATGATTGCAGAGGATTCAGCCCATGGTCACTCAGCCCTGCCATTTTAGGGCCTGGGGTAAGGCGGAATATCACGGTAGGGGAGTAATTTAGCATACAGCAGCCAAGAAGCAGGAGACACAGGGGAAGGGGCTGACATCTTAGTGTACTCTTCAAGGGTGTAACCTATGACTTACTTCCTCCAACTGGTCCCTAGCTCCTAAAATTTATACCATCTTCCAATAGCACCATCACATGGGGACCAAATCTTCAATAGCTGAGATAAAAAAATCATTAGAGGGAACTGGATTTCTCTCAGGGAAGATGAACATAGAATGTTTTCTCTTGAAGACACGAAGAGAGAAAAGGTGCTTTGAGGTCCAAATACTTCTTGTTTAACTATCTCGTCAGTAAACACCTTAGGGCAGTTATCAGAACAGAATACTACAAGTAACACTTGACCCATCAATAGATACATGGTGCCATACCCTTTACCTACAATGGGTCCCGATAAACCCATCATAAATTTTAAAAAATTATTTAATACCCATGTTGACTAGTTGTTTTTTCAACTTTACACAAGGTAGAGTCTTTTGGAAAGAGGGACCCTCCATTGAGAACATACCCCTACTAGATTGACCTGTTGGGGTATTTTCTTGCTTGACGATTGATGTGGGAGGGCCCAGCTCACTGTGAGTAGTGCCGCCATCTTGCTGAGAGTCTTGGGTTGTAAAAGAAAGCAAACTGAGCAAGCGGGTAAGCAGGATTATGCTGCGGCCTGTGCTTCGTTCCTGTCCTGACTTCCTTCACCGACAGGGTGTGATCTGAGAGTTGTAAGACGAACTTCCCTCTTTCCTTTCCAAGTTGGTCGTGGTGTTTCTATCACGAGCAACATACATCCCAACCAAGACACACACCTAATCAACCAAACAGCACAGCTTAGCTTAGTCTAATTGTGCCCACACCATTGAGCAGGTGTGATGGTGCACACCTGTCATTCCCTACTTGGGAAGCTGAGGCAGGGGGATGGAGAGATGGTGGGAGGTGGTGGAAACTTTAGGAGGTGGGGAACACAAGCCACAGAGAGTTGGCTTTTGAAGGACACACTGGGTCTGCTTCCTGATTACGTCATGCAAATAGCTTTTTCCTCCATGTGCTGCATCTGTGAGATGCTGGGCCATCGGCCCAGGATCAATGCAACCAAATTAACCAAAATAACTGCATAATGAACCTCTGAAACCGTAATCAAGACGAATCTCTCCTTATCTAACTGTTTTCTCAAGTATTTCGATCATATCTATGCAAAAAAATACCAGGCCTTCCTTCGGGTCTTTGTTTCATATCAAGAACGCGTCATCTTCTACAGTCAGGCAAGGCTCCCAGCAGTGGGAACTGGGACACCAACCCAGCCATACGTCCTGCCTGCAAGATGCGCTGGGCTAACAGTGGCGCAGGACTTGTGGGCGTGGCCAACCAATGACTGGTCCAACTTGAAGCCCACACCAAGAGAGGGGAGTCCACACCTGACACTGTGCAGATGAATAAGAACCAGAAGCTGGCAGCCCAGAGACTCAAGATGGAACCAAATAAGACTGGCTAAAAGAAAGAAAAAATCACCACAATGAGTCCTAATGATATTCTGCTATACTCACAGATCGGTACCTAGCCCAGGTGTCATCAGAGGGACATCGTCCAGCAACTGATGGGGCAGATGCAGAGACCCGCAGCCAAACACTAGATGAAGCCAGGGGAACCCCAAAGAAGGAGGAGAGGAAGGAGTCTAGGAGTCAGAGGGGCCAAGGACATCAGGAAAACAGGCCACAGATCCATTAAACAGGGCTCATAGGGGCTCATAGAGACTGAAGTGACAATCACGGGACCTGCATGGGTCTGACCTAGGTCCTCTGCATATATGCTCTGGCCATTCAGGTTGGCATTTCTGTAGGAGTCCTAATAGTCAGTGGGAGTAGGGGTGTCTCTGACTCTTTTGCCTATGAGTGGGACCTTTTTCTTCTCCAGATTACCTCATCCAGCCTTGATAATAGGATTTGTGCCTAGTCTTATTGTAATATGTTATGCTATTGTTCAGTTCCCTGGATAGCCTCTTCCTCCTCCTCCTCCTCCTCCTCCTTCCCCTTCTCCTTCTTCTTCTTCCTCCTCCTCCTTCTCTTCTTCCTCTTCCCTCTCCTCCTCCTTCTTCTTCTTCCTCCTTCTCCCCCTCCTCCTCCTTCTTCTCCTTCTCCTCCTTCTTCTTCCTCCTCCTCCCCCTCCTCCTCCTTCTTCTTCCTCCTCCTCTTCTTCCTCCTCCTCCTCCCCTTCCTCCTCCTCCTCCTCCTCCTCTTCCTCCTCCTCCTCCTCCTCCTTCTTCTTTTAAAAGGGAAATGGAGAAGTGTATCTAGGAGACAGGGGAGGTAGGTGGGGAACTGGGAGGAGTGGAGGTAGGGAAAACTATGGTTGAGGTGTAATGCATATAAAGAATACAAGTTAAAATAAATAAAAATGTGTCTGAGCTATACGGAACCCATTAGAACATCCAGCAGAAAGCAGACTTAGAGGCCTAGCATCTCAGTGTAGGAAGAGAACCTGGAAGAAGATGCTTCAAGCCCCAGGATACCCACAGCTACTCTAATGGACATTCATCCAGTCGGCCTGCATCTCCTGGCCGGCAGTGTCCGACTGACTCAGAAGTCTCTCTTACGCATTCTTCCTAATGTTTCTGTCTCAAGATTCCTCATCCGTTCCCACTGTGACCCTCCGCTCCAGTTAGGTTCCGGTGACTACTGTCTGCTTCCCTACCTGTAAAGTGCCAAGTCTCTTCCCTTCTGAATGGAGGCAATTCAGTTTTTAAACGTAGCTTTAAGGCTTTGCCCTTTCTTATCTGGTGAAATTTCCTGTGGTGGGCTGTGGAGTGTGGGGGTGGCCATGTGCAAGAAGGAAGAATGGTAGGGACTGGATCTGACAGCCTTGAGTTCAGGTCCTCTCTCTGCTGCTTGTGTTTATAGTGGGGTCTAATGTTCATTGGATACTAAGAGGGAAATGTGTTTGTTGACTATTATGTGCTAAGTAAACATTTGACAATGAAGACAGTCTCACCGCTTTCTGATCAGGATGGCATGTTTAGCTCAAGAAAGATAAACACTGTTTCCTTCACCTTTTTTTCCTGTAACCTCATCTGTCTCTAGTAAGTCCATGCAATAGCTATCAGAATTAACACACACACACACACACACACACACACACACACACACCCCAGGAAAAGAAAGATAGAGAATATGGAAGCTTAAATCATTGAAAGTTGATCTGGGGCTGGGGAGGCGGCTTAGACGCAGTGGTTCTCAACCTTCCTAATGCTGCCACACTTTAATACAGTTCCTCATGCTGTGGCGACCTCCCCAGCCGTAAAATTGTTGTCATTGCTACTTCATAACTGTAATTTTTGCTACTGTTATTAATCACGATGAAGATAGTTTTGGAGCTAGAGGTTTGGCAAAGGGGTCGTGACCCACAGGTTGAGAACCCCTGGCTTAGCGGGTACCATTTGCAGGGCGTACTTAACAACCTCGCATGTAAAGGCTGAAGGAGAGACTGATCTTGCAAAGTTCTCCTCCGATCTCCACGTGTGCACTGGTGCAGGCACGTGGCATACTCATCCATCGTACACGTACACAATTATTATAATACATTTTTTAAAGAGTTGATCTGAAAGTGAGAAGAAAAAAAAACCCAACTGCTTGAATTTTTAATCCTAAACTAAAGATGAGAAAAAATGTACTATTTGATTATGGCTGTCTTCTAACTGGACGTGGCTGTCTACTTTTGAATGAATAACCTCCTCTGCAAGTGGATAACCTCACATCGTGATCGAGTCTAAACTTTAGAGTGCACAGTGAAGGCTAAGAACCACTTCCCAAATTTGCATCAGGGCTCCCCTTACACAGCTGCTCTCAGAAGTACCCCGAATCACAAAATACTAGGTCTCAGAATAGTTACGACACCGTTGCAAATGCTTCTGCTTTGTTTTTCATTTTTGAGACAGGGTTTTGCTATGTAGTAGCCCAGGTTGCCCTCCATACTTCTGCCTCAGCCTCCAGAGCACTGGAATTCCGGGGACGTGTGTCCACGCCTGGCTACCATTACCATGATGTTAAACAGAAACTCGACCCCTTTAAAAGAAAAATCAACTCTGGTGAGAAATGAAGGGAAGGAAAAATCCTAACTAGTGTGACTAAGCAGGCAAGGATACTCAAAGAGTATCCTTTTTTTAATCTCAAAGAGGCTTAACATGTCTTCTGGAGGGGACAGGAAAGATGACCAATGGGGTGTAGATTCTCCAGCTTTTGCAAAGGCAAAGAGAAACATAAGATGTGCTTGAGGTAATGGGGTTTGTCATCAGTGACACTAATTTTCTATTGACAGCTGTGATGACTTGTATATGCTTGGGCCAGGGAGTGGCACTATTAGGAGGTGTGGCCTTGTTGGAGTAGTTGTGTCACTGTGGGTTATTAGGAGGTGTGGCCTTGTTGGAGTAGTTGTGTCACTGTGGGTGTGGGCTTTAAGACCCTAGTCCTAACTGCCTGTAAGTCAGTGTCTTAGTCAGGGTTTCTATTCCTGCACAAACATCATGACCAAGAAGCAAGTTGGGGAGGAAAGGGTTTATTCAGCTTACACTTCCACATTGCTGTTCATCACCAAAGGAAGTCAGGACTGGAACTCAAGCAGGGCA